GGCAGCAGAGGGATGCCCTAGCCTTTTGTGCGATGTGTGGGAAGAAATAGACTGCTGAGGTGAACATGTGGAGAAAAACCTGAAGAAACCTAATAAAGACCATTCAGATAATAGCCTTTACACAGGATGGCTTTCGAAACTTTGTACTGAACAACAAAGGAATCACTATCAAACAACACACTACAGTGATTATCCTTGGTTAACTGATGAACAAAAATAAGATTGGAAGATATGTGAGGAACATGAAGAAGATTTGTGAGTGGAAACTAAAAAGAAGGAGTAGGAAAAATACCAGTCCTAGAGTTATGAATCGGGAGAGTACTGCCATTACCAACAACAACTTGATCAGTTCCATGATAAGGTTAATGAAGATGAAGATGAAGATTATCAAGATCATTGGTGATATGTGTGGTAGCAGCCGAATCAAGATACCAAGGACCAGATGGAGAGGCCTGAGTAACAGTAGAGTAAGTAGGATGAGAATGAGTAGAGTAACCACCACCACTGGTGGACTGAGTAGATGAACCAAAAAGAGGAGCACCAGATGAATAACCAGACATTGGTGGCTGATAGGCAGAATTCATCCTATTGCGGCATTCCAAAGCTATGTCATTGCCTTTTCCACAAATCTGACAAAACACATGAAACCGACCTCCTCTGGGATCTCTATTTCCAGAAACTCTTTCACCACCTCTAAAACTAGAGTTATAAGATCGGCCTCGATAATTGGACTGATAACCACGATTACCAGATCCAGAACGAAAAGTAGGAGAAGTATGTGTATAAGAAGAAGAAACTGATTCTTTTGTGGTTGCAAAAGCAACAGTTGAGTCAATTGAAGAAGATGAATGAGATTGCTGTTCAATATGAATCGCTTCAAAACTCAGTAATGAAGATAATTCTTCAAGAGTAATGCCATCTGATCGAGTTCTAATTGAAGTTTTAAAAGAATTATATTCATTAGGCAAAACATTCAAGATCATAAGAACCAGGTCCTCATCGTCAAGAGGCTGAGAAACTAAAGCCATTTGATCTGAAATTTCTTTAAACTGATGCAGATAAGCTTCCATGGACTGTAATTTCTTTTTGAATGCTTGTAGCTTGTTCTTAAGCTGATGAACATGAGATCTTGACAAAACAATAAATCGTTGTTCAAGAGTAAGCCATACCTCTGTACTTTGTTTCAAATGCAGAACAGATGAAAAGATAGAAGGAGAAAGTGTTATTGTTAAACAACTGAGGAGATATGCATCTACAATCTTCCATTGATGAAAATCAGATTGAATCAAGAATTGAGGCTAATGGACATGAAATTGATCCATCAATGTAACCGAGTAACTCTGTTGCCTGAAACAAATTCTGGATTTGATTATTCCAAATGATGTAATTAGATGAATCAAGCTTTACATTGACTAATGAGTTTAGATTTGTGATGAGTAAGGTTAGATTTGGTGGAAGAGGTGATGATGAAGAAGAGACCACCATTGTTGCTCGTTGGAGCTTACAGGAGCTCTTATACCATGAAGAAACTGATATACTTGAAGATATTTTTCATTATATCAAATATGAAGATTCTCACAGTATTTATGGAAGAAGCATTATACACATTCTCAACTATATCTAATATACACGTGCACATCTAACAGACTAGCCTAACTAACTAACTTACTTACTCTAACAACCTCTTGTACAGCTGGACTAGCATTCACATGATCCTTCTCTACATGATCTTGACAGACTGGATGAGTCCCACTGCTGTAGCTTATGGACCCTTTGATCAACTCCTTATCACAATAGACTTGAAACTTTCACATAGAATGAAATATATATTTTTCATTTAAACAAAATTAGTGATCTCTATGCAAGATTCTCATTCTCATCCCATTTATAAAGCATTAATGGTTTATCCATAACGAAATTAACGGTCATAGATAAAAGGATATTGAAAAAAAGATTCAAACTCAACGATTTTATCTTAAATGGTTTGTTTATAATGAAATTAACGGTCATGGATAAAAGGATTCTCGATAAAAGATAAATTTAATGGGTTATATTCTTACTCGACTTTATAAAGCGCTAACAGTACTATTTTGTTGATCGGCAAGAAAACTTTATTGATGAGTCTAGTGACAGTTGACATTGTATAGTGTCACCTGCTTAAACATGTTTTTCACGCAATGCTAATTCAATCATCAACAATGATTCATCCCACTAAAAATATCACCACTAATAGCACTAATGCATTAAAAAAGTAAAAAAAAAAAAAAAAAAAATATCACCACTAATAGCACTAATGCATTAAAAAAATAAAAAATAAATAAAAATAAATACAACTCCAAGACCAAAACATCACATCATTAATGACGGGACCCACTGCCACCTAATTAGTGGGAGCACTAATTAGTGCTCCCAAGCATTTTTCTTCAATCATATTGGTATGATGACTAATGCGCATTTGACTAAAATTTAACTTTTCTAATAATAACATTTTAACATCTATTATTTTTTGTGTGCACAAAATATGTTAACGCTTTACTTTGAGAGAGATAAAGACACTAAAACAGAAAATGCATTTTCCATGGCAAGGCTTTTGAGAACTCTATATAATTTGCAAAATCATAAGTCAATGCTCAATATTATGGTTGTTTTCTCTATTTAAAATAATTAATGAAAGTAATTGAAGTTAAACAGATAGGAATTGAAATCAAATATGAAATTGTGATTAATTTTATTGAAAAAAAAATCTAAGGATGTTATACTCCATTTAATTCTTCTACATCCCATAAGAATCAATGTGAACAGTTTGGAAAATATTAATTCTTAAATATTTAGCATTCAAAATTTTATTATAAGCTGATTTCTACACACAATAGTGTACATTCCTATTTAGGAGGTCAGCGGTCAAATATTGCCAAAGATAAATGTTGATTTTTCTTTATTATGCGGGTTGTATTAAGTTTTTTATTTCTACATATTATGGACTATTTTTTATAGTGATTATTTATAATTAATTTCTTATAGATTGACAAAAAATAAATAAATTCAGGCGTCGAAAAAATTATTAAATAATCCTAATTTTATTTGTAGTGATTATTTTGCTTCATCAATTTCACCTAATATAATAGTTTTTCTCAACATGTACCTGGGGAGCCATAATGCTTTTTTATTAATGGACGTGGTACGTATCATATTATTATAGTGAATTTTATTTTAAATTCTAAATTTTTTTTACAACTATATATTAGATTTGTAAGTAAAATTTTTTTAATAAAATTTGATAGTTCTTAAATTATTTCGTAATACGATTCAGGGTATATAATGCATCCCATTCTAAAAATTAAATATTTAGTTTAAATATTTAGGCTCTCGGTTGAGAACTCATTATGACAAATTTGTCTTGGTGTTCATGTTGCCATTGCATGTGTGTCACTGCCACTACGACAAATTAAGATTTTAGAAATTAAAATTTAAGAATAAAATTATTTTTTTAGAATTAAATATTTTTTTTGTAAAAAATGTTGTTATTATATTTTTAGTAACAAAAATTGAATATTAGTGATGAATTATTATCCTTTTAGGACCAAATTTTTTGTGTAAAAAAATAAACTATTTTGAGATCAGATTATTTTGTCCTTAAAAGTCTATTTATTAGTGACATTTTCAAAATTTTGTCGCTAAAAGCCTTGATTTTGATGTTTTGGGACGATCCTTTAGTGACTATCCTCATGACGATAGAAATTGATCCTTAAATGTCTTTTGCAACAAAATTTTTACTTTTAGAGACTAAAAAAAACTCTTATATGTTGTAGTATACCTAATATAATTTTATTTTATTTTTTTCATGGCAAAGTAAAAATTTCATTAAAAATATGAAATGAAAGGTACATGAAAAAAACAATCTTCTGCCTAGAGGAGAAGCGTCCTCCATAACAACCAAATGCGATGCCAATTCAACCCCCAAAAATATGAGTGACCCAAAAAATTTTTTTTTTTGAACAGTAAAAGCAAAATAATAAAGTGAGAACTGGAAATGGACGTTATGGAGCAAGCCAGAAACGGGGGTTGGATTCCAGTGGTAAGTTAGTGGAAAGGTGGTAGAGGGCAAGGCAATGAGGCAATGCATATACTTTTTAGTGTCTTCGTGGATAACATATCGTCAAATGTTTTCAAATGGAAACAAATCAGGACAAGTGCTTGAATTTCCAGTTAATATACTGATTGCTACTGCTCTTATGTGGTTGGAGCTTGCTTAGGTTTTGTTGTTGTCTGCTTTTGCTATCTGTTGCTGTTAGATTCTGGTGTTTCAAACAGAGGTGTTGCCACATAGTCTTGGTTCTATCTGTTGGCACTACAACAAAATTAAATATTTACAGCTTGCGATGCATGCTGTAAAAACTCTTTCACGGCATGCACACAAATGCCGTTATATGACATGTCGTGAAAAGTGAAGCATCATTTACGATATGCAGGTAAAGTTGTAAAAAGTAATAAATTAAATATTAATGACATACTTTGTATGTCGTATATAACTTTTTACGACATTTTTATCATGCCATAAATCATCATACTTTCCATGACATAATTTTGCATGCCGTAGAAGATTATTTTTAATATATTTATGGCATACTTTGTATGCCGTATATAATATTTTACGATATTTTCTTGCATGTCATAAATCATCACACTTTTCATGACATAATTTTGTATGCCGTAGAAGGTCATTTTTAATATATTTATGACATGCCTTGTATGCCGTATATAATCTTCTACGACATTTTCTTACATGCCCTAAATCATTACACTTTTCACGACATAATTTTGCATGCGTAGAAAGTTATTTTTAATATAATATATATATATATATATATATATAGGAACATGACCTTGTCTAACCGTATGTAGACAATAGCTTATAAAATGCAACCTGTTACAAACCAAGCAGAAGCAGCAACTATGAAATAAGCAAAAAAATCTAATATCCATACACCAAACAACCTGCATACTAACTTTTATCCCCAACTTCTATCATATCAAGCTGATAACAATCTCAAACATACAAATCAAAAAAAGTATTCAAATCATAAGATTCACTAATCTCTAAAATATGACTTTAAACATCCAAAAAGTATAACTACAAATCGTAAATCAATTAGTCCAATATTTAGTCCAAAATAATGAATTGACTAGGCCATGCAACTGTACTTCCTATTGCATCTTTCAGATCATACATCTCACGAGTAGAACGAAACAACGGCACGTTGACTGTTACGTGGTTCACCCAGACTTTCCAACACAAAGGTCCAAGAGTTGCATGATACACCTTTGACTTGGGATCCCTTGATGCAATTTGGCCTTTTGCTACCACCAAGTTTGACCCCTCCCAATGCAACAACTTGCATTTGACATTTGCTAAGCTCGACACACCATTACTTTGATCCTACAAAAATTAAGAGTATATAAGCATACTGCATAACATTCATCCCATTTACGAAGTATTAGTTCAACAAAGGAAATGAAAGTGTCAAAAAGCTTCAACGAGAACGCACTTACATATGTCATCAATGTCAGAAAAGAAAATTTCAACCTGATAGATACATATTTTGAGGTGGTCACACTTATGAGTCTATTTAACCTGATGAATATGACAAGGCTCAAAAAAAGACACATTTGAATGTCTGAAACTGTTACTATCATCAGGTGTTGGCTTAGAGCTAAACTGTTACTACTGGACCACATTATAGCCCTAAAAATATGACAAGGCTCAAAAAAAGGATCTTAGGGCATACAAAGGCTATTCAACCACTACATAAACATTACCATCCGAGGTATAATTAAGACACATTTGAATGTCTGAAAAAATATGAATTGGATCACTTTAGGATTGGCTCATTAACAAATTAGATAAGTACGTGTGTTGCACTGTAAAGATGACAACTAAAAAATTGATTAATTTACTTTCTTTGTGAGAATTTAAATTAGTTCATTTCTTTTAAACGTAGAATTACTGGCAAACAATGTGCAAAAAGTTGGGGACATTTGGGACATGGCTTTCCCTATTTAAGAGTGTTGTTTCTTCATCATTATGCATATCTAGCTCTTACAAGGTTTACATTATGTTATGCTTTTACAATTTGATGTGAGTAATCCTAGATCATATCAATTTCTTCAGTTACATCTCTGCCCAATTTTCCAACCTGCTTGTTCCGACTGGGACTCCCAACTATCATGAATCTATGTATGAAACAAAAGTGCAGTGTAATACAGGTGTTTGACTTTTAAAAATTTCGTCATTTCTTTGTTATGTTTGGCCATATTTTCATGCAGATTGTGTGAAGCATGATCCTGAAGTGAGTGAAGACACAGAAAAGAACTTTGCAGAGCTTTTGTCTGAGGAGCTGAAGCTACGGGAAACTGAAGCTTTGGAAAGTCAGTAGCGTGCCGACATGGCATTGCCTGAGGCCAAGAAGATTACATCCCAATATCAAAAGGAGGCAGACAAGTGTAATTCAGGGATGGAAACTTGTGAAGAGGCAAGGGAAAAAGCAAAAGCAGTTTTGTTGGCACAAAAGAGACTGACTGCGATGTGGGAATCAATGGCTCGTCAGAGAGGATGGAAAGAAGGGGTTGCCAAGTCACTGATGCAAAGAAGAGGATGGAAATAAAATTCTTTCATTTGTCTGTGTGTGAGACATCATAGATATTCATACAACTATATAGAAGCCCACCATCATATAGCACCCTCCCTCTTTCTTGTTGGTCTCATCTTTATTGATGTAAAATTTGTATGAAACAAAAGTGCAGTGTAATACAACTATATAGAAAAATTTGTGCAATGTGAAAGTGAGAAAATGAAGTGAAAGAAAAGATAGAAAATATATTTTCTTGCAAGCATTTGATTATGATGAAAATTTTGCAAGAAAAATATAGAGAACTTTGAAATGTTAGTTATAGATAACTCTTTATATAGACACATTCAAATTTTATTGTGTTTTGTGCAGGAAATTAAAAAGTTAGTAACAATGCTAATACGGGTTGTATAATAAAATTAACCTTCTTCTAATTTCCACCACATTCATGCTAAGCAAACTTATAGCGATCCCGGGTTTACCCTTGTTGTACAGTGATCCGGACATGTGTCCGTGGTTGAGGGTAGTTGTTTATTATCTTGTTTACATCCCCCTTTACTTTGTATTTTGAGTTATAGGATAAACAAACTCAGCCCAAGTGAAAAATGCGGATACTTTCTAATCCTTGATTTTAGTTAACTGCCCCAAAACAGTTAAGTTTGGACACATCTCTGATGTGTTTTTGTAAAAGAAATTGTGGGAAATTATCCCATTTAAAACCTTGGTTGGCTATGTAAGGTGCATGTCTGTTGTTAACCAGTAAACACACAAGTATATCCTTACTCGAGAGCAATGGATCTAGATTTGTAATAAATTCATCTAAATAACACCAGAAGGCATGAGGTTCTTGGTCTGTGAATAAATTATCTACAACACAGAACATGCACCCACTAGATTAATAATATTGGCTTGGTATGTTAATGCAACAAACATATCTTAACTCCTCTTTGTCTCGTAACAAAAGAAAAGACGAAGAAGCTAGTCAAGCCAAATACAATGTGACCTTTCTAAAGAGGGGAAAACAGTGCAGTCCATTATGATCTTTTTTTCTTCTTTTTGAAGTACAACCATTCATCATACTTTATCTGTCCCACAAAGTGAGTTCATTCTATATTTGTTTCTCATGGAAAGTGTCGATAAATAAATGTCGGTGTCATTGAATGCATTGAATACCCTAAAAAAAATAGGCTTAGGGAGTATTACATTCAGAGTGTCAGCATGTTGGCTTTGAGTGTGAGTAGTAAAAACTTGTGCTCCAAAATCTAATTCTGGTCAAGCATCATCTGGCTAGAATATATTTAAATTTCCAATGCCTAAGCTTTATCTACAGACTATATGAGTTGCTAACTAGTGTGTCATTAAATCCTTGGGGTTAACATCAGGATCAAGCCCTTGCAAGCCTTGAGCCAAGTAACATAGGACCCATAATCAAGATTGTCCATGGAATAGTATTACATTGTAAGCTCTTTTGGAAACTTCCCAAGTGCTTCCATATATTTTACCTTCAATAGTATCTGTTTTGAAATGCTTATTTTTTTTTTATTTGATGCATACTTTTTATGATCGAACTCCTACAAGGGAATCAAATTTTGCATCAATGGCTTATTATAGGTGAAAATAGAGTGTTAATTAAGTAACCTAGCGTAAAGTATCGAACAAGAAAATCTTAGTAAGAACTAGGTAAAACAAGAAACACAATATTACGAAAATATTCACTAACAACTCCCTTTAAATTCAAATAGATAAATTAACTTCAGCTTGAAAAGAACAACTAGATAACAAAGTAATAGTCACTACTTTTGACTTTATTTTGATAGGTTTCGGAGTGAAATCTGGTGTGAAGACGAGGAGCACATCGGGAGTGAGATCTAAAAGAAGCATGGGGCAAAGAGGTCACATAGTCTGAAAGGCCGGGGCAAAAACAATGTAGAGTCCAGCAAATTGGGACATACATACAGAAGCTGACAACGATGAATAAAATATTCGAGGTAAAATTCGGATGACCGCTCATGGAAGTGCTTGAGAGAGATCTGGAGCAAAATCAGGATGAAAATAGCTAATGTATGGCTAAGATCTCAGTTTATAGTCATGGATGGACTCCGAACAGTTTACAGTCATAGATGGACTCCAATTGAGATAGAACTAAATGGATGAAGATAGGGGGATCCCATAGCAAAGATCTAGTCATCATTGAGAGAAAAGAATGTGACTACGTAAGTTATGGATTATTTTAATCTCAATAAAAAATATATATGTCACGATGCACACAATGGCATAGTAAGTGTCACTTCCTTCTAATAACATGGTAAATGTCATGAAATTTCAACAATTTAAGTATCATAATTTCCCAGTAATATGGAAAGCATCACAATTCTCTAATAATCAGATAAATATTAATATACTCTACTGGCTTGCTACATGTCAAGATTTTTCTATTATGCAAATAATATTATAAGCTTGCCGTAAAGTATTAATTATCTTTTAAATTCTAGTAATTCTGCAACACTCTTGATAACATTATTTTCATAAAACTCAGTAAATCTTATCAAATCAATTGCATTTGACCTAATAAAATTCATGTCCGGTAACAACTTTAATTGATTGGTAAAGTCGCATTAAATCTCTACTGGCTTGCTACATGTCAAGATTTTTCTATTATGCAAATAATATTACAAGCTTGCCGTAAAGTATTAATTATCTTTTAAATTCTAGTAATTCTGCAACACTCTTGATAACATTATTTTCATAAAACTCAGTAAATCTTATCAAATCAATTGCATTTTACCTAATAAAATTCATGTCCGGTAACAACTTTAATTAATTGGTAAAGTCACATTAAATCCATAAAGTAAACACCTTGTTACTCATAACTAGTATATGTCAGAACTATACACACACACAGATATATATATATATTATATGAATGTGGATTTGAAGTTGGAATTTTAGAAATGAATTTGGGAAGTCAATGAACAAAATAAATGTCGATAAATGTGAGTACCAAATTTCCCAATTTTTGACTGAGAAAATATCACAAATGGCCACCAAAGCACTATTCTGAAGCAATTTGACTAGCAGTTCATACATAGAAGGAACCAATCAAACCGAACTGAATTCTAAAACCAATTGCTCAAACTCGACGGGAAGAGCTTGAGGGAGAGAGAAAGAGAATACGAAACTGAGAGAGAGAGAGAGAGAGAGAGACGGTGGTGCTCACCTTAGTAGACGATGGTCCTTGCTTCCCTCGCCGGTGCAGATGGTGGAGGCGGTGGAGCTTTGAAATTTCAAAATTGAAATTGCCAATCGCTCTGAGATTGGATCTGAGATGAATCACCAATCGCTTTGAGATCAAATCAAGGCTGATTCGATCGGTTGAGAGAGATTAGGGTTTAGAGAGGGTTGGGAGAGAGAGAGGTCGATCGAGACCAGAGAGCGAGTGAGAAAGTAAGGGGGCCTTAATTGTTTTTTAGTTTTTTGTTTTAGTTATTGTAATATTTTAAATAAATTTTTTTTTACTTTTCAAATTCAAATAATTTATATATACTTAAAAGAAATATTTAATTTTAATTTTAATAATGATTTACTTTTTAATTTTTTTAAAAAAATTACTAAATTCAAAAAAATATAAAATTTAATACATTTCATATATATTATATTTTATTATTTTTTTTACAAATATTTTATTTTTTAGTTGTATTCAGATTAGACACATCTAAAAAGTAAAAAATAAATAAATTATTAAAAGAAAGAAAAATATCAAATCAAGGTAATTTTAAAAAATATCTTAAGTACAAATATTTTATGACATATTTTTGTATGCCGTGAAAATATACATTTTTTACGGCATGCTTTTGCATGCCATAAAAAAAAATCAGATTCAATGTGTTTGGTTTGAGTTTTCTAGATTAAGTTTTTTGAAAATTGACTTTTTTGGTTTGCGTGTTTTTTCTTTTTAGTGAATATTTTTTAAATTTTAAACATTTTTTTTTCTTTTTAGTGAATATTTTTAAAATTTTAAACATTTTTTTTACTTTTTTAGATGCATCTTACTTAGATGTATCTAAAAAGAAAAAAAAATTGTGAAAAAATATTTTAAAAAAATTAATAAATACATAAAAATACAAAAAATGTACTGAATTCTTGTATTTTTTTTGTATTTTTGGTATTTTGTGAATTTTTAAAAGATTTTTTTTACAATTTTTTTACTTTTTAGGTGTATTTATGTTAGGTGTCTAAAAAGTAAAAAAATTGCTTAAAATATTAAAAAAATTCAATAAAGACCAAAAAAACACGGAAAATAAGAAAGTAGAATTTTTTAAAAAATGTTTTTTGAAAAGTGAAAAAAAGCAAGGTGATTGATTTTTTTTTTTTTTGCAAAAGTTTTCACGACATGTTAATGTATGCCATGTAAAGTTATAATATTTTATAACATGAAATGTATGTCGTCTTAAGTACAAATATTTTACGATATATTTTTGTAAGTCGTAAAAACATACATTTTTTACGACATACTTTTGCATGCTATAAATATATAAATGAATGACTTACATGGAATGTATGCCGTTATTGACAAAACATTAACGGCTTGCAAAAAAAAAAGGGTCCAGCTTGTCTCAAGTTGAGATCAAGACTGGACCCGTCCAGTTCGGCCCATTGGGGTCATGTTTGGCGCCCGTTTGATAATCCGAACCGTTCAATGTGTAGAACTCGTCGAGTACTATATGTTTGAAAAAAATCACATTGATCGGATATCAATAGCTATGTGATCAAATCAGTTTTGTATAAAAAAAAATGGACGGTGACACAATTAACGATTGATAAAAACTGTTTTGTTCACTAGCTATCGATTTCGATCAACGTGATTTTTTACAAGCATAAGTACTCGACGAGTTCTAACATTGAACGGTTCGAATATAAAACGGGACCCGTGGTGGGCCCCCACGGGCCCAACAGCACTGTCCAGTCCAATTGGACTGGACTAAAGCCACTGCAAAAAAAAAAAAAGCCGTAGAATGTACTAACTACGACATGCATTTAATGCATGTCGTAAACATGATGCCGTGAATAGTTAGTTTTGTTGTAGTGTGGTCTGCTATGCACCGTGTGTTGTTTTGCTGTTTTGATCAGGATCTGTCTTTCTTTTGATCTTGTTTGTCTTTGTTTGTTGGTTCCTCACCAACTAGGAGGTTGGAGCTTTATCTAGGTCCAAACTCCTCTTTATTGATATAATTTATTGTATTTCATATGTGTTTCATCAATAAAATTCTCTTTGCCGGTCAAAAAAAAAAAAAAATTGTCAGTCAAAAAGAAAAAAAAAAAAAAAAAAGTACATGAAAATAAAATGTACCAAGACAGATTCGGAGGGTGCTCTAACTCCCTATTACGGCAACTTGCATCCTAATAGCCAACTCCTCGGCCTTATGATTTTTTAAAAATAAAGAGAATTGGAAAAAATTATTTAATAATTTCGTTTGATTCATATTTATAATAATAATTTTATTTAGATGAATCAATATATATGGATGTGATAATTCAATTAAAATTGAAAAATTTGTTTTAAAAAAAATATTTATTTTACCCCGCGCATGGCTCGTGCATTGCACAAGTCAACTACTAGTGTGAAAATAAAATAAAATATCAAATCAGATTATGTTATTCTCAAATTGAATTTTGTAAGTTTCACACTAATTCAATTTTGATAAGTTACTATTCTTAATAGACTTGGGCTCGTTTTTTGTGTAATGAAATCTACCGTAATGTAATCTAGCAAAATCTTGGTAATCTCCAACTACGACCCATACATGTAATAACCACTAAATTGCTAAAGAATTTGATGACTAGAAGATTTACTCTAATCACTCAATTGACTAGTCGTAACAAAAAATTCCAGTTAGTTGGAAATACCGCCTAAACAATGTCATATGGTACTCTTCTAGAATACTCAAAAATTTCTCAATTTATAAGAATATTTGGATTCAAAACTTAAAATTTTTCAATAATTATGTATTCAAATTTTTTTTAAAGACACTAAACAAACTACCTAAAAATAAAAACATTTTGGGTTCAAAATTTTTAAAATTTTCAAAAACTTTCATATTCAATTTTTTTTAATGTCAGCAAATAAATTCTAAAAACACACATTTTGGGTTTTTAAATTTTTTAAAATTTTCAAAAAGTTACGTATTCAAAATTTTAAATAATTATGTATTCAATTTTTTTAAAGTAAAAAAAAAAAAAAAACTCTAAAAACAGAGACATTTTGAATTCAAAATTAATTTTTTTTTTCAAAAAGTATGTATTCAATTTTTTTCAAGACAAACATATATATACTTATCCAATTAAACAATATTAGTAATTCTATGCAAGATTTTGGTGTTGGTTTTATTTTTCAAGTGTAATTTTTTTCAACATTGATTGCATTTTGTTGTTGGAGACTTGAAAAAGCCACGGACTGTGATTCCCCCTCATTAGTTTTGTTTTGTTTTGTTTTGTTTTTTTTTTTTTATGTTTTTTTGTTTTTGTTTTTGTTTTTTGATAAGCACAATTCCCCATTGGTTTCTTCAACCGTTTTTGTCTACCCTCACTATATTTTTGGACAGTTTTTTTTTTTTTTTTTTATTTTTGAACATTTTTTTTTTTTTGAACGGTTGTCTACCCTCATTATAAACATCTAACATCAGGTCTTACCATTTTTTTCTAACTTAGTTAAAAGTGATATTTTATCAATAATATAAAACATTGCAAAAGAAAGAGGGAGAGGAACACAACAGAATAATCATGGTTTTCTCAATATATTTAATTAAAAATTATTTTTACAAATATTCAACTTAAGTTTTACTTCCAATTAAACCCTCAATCCAACTCATTATACAAAATACGAATTTTGTGTAAGATTTTTTTCCTAAATATGGCTTAATATACTTATGCATGATTATACTAGATTCATCTCATTAAGTAAGATACATGTACATCAATTAGATGGCGACTAATCATTGATGAATGCACCTATATATACATAATGTATAAAAGACTAATGGAGATAATGTCAATGCATTGAATGTGATAGATTCATTATGAATGAATCTTAAAGATGTATTATGTATCTATTATGAATATATAAGATACATTAATCTATCTAATGAATTCATTAATATAGAAGATGTATTATGTATCATGAATGTATAAGATATATTAATCTATTTAATGAAATTCATTGAATGAATGAATTTTTTGATGGGAAGAATATTAGTATAAATAGTGTAAGGTTCCAAACCACACTCTTCATCAAAACTCAAGTTTTCACCACAAGAAGGCTCCCATCGCCTAGAGAGGGAGAAGTGGTTTGAAGATCTTAGACAAGTAAATAACTTAAAGATCAAGATCTTCTATTCAATATTTCTCTTTCTTACAAGAGGATTTCATACTATCATGGATCAAGGTATATATTCACTTATTTTGTATAGTAGAAATTCATATAGTTTTCATGTATAGAATTGAAGCCTTAATGGTTTTTAGTTTATGTTCCACAAAGTTTTCTATCAAGTGGTATCAGAGCCATGGTTCTCAATTCTTATGCATGAAACATATAAGTATGAATTTCATTTTATGATGATTTTTGTGTAACAAGTGCAAAACCTTGATTTACACTTGTCCAATTTTATTTTTATTTTTACTCAATCTTTTATTCTATTGATATTAAAATACAAATTGAAAATTATTGAACAAGTGGTAATTAAGATAATATTTTATGCACTTATAATGTTTTGTTACACACCTTATGAGTTGAAACATTGTTGATCAGCCCAACGGAGGTTCAACACTATGTATGTTTGAACAACCGAGATGATTAGTATAATAAATATAACAATAAGTTTTTCTGCCCAACGGTGATAAACTTCTCACGTGCTGTAGTTAATAAAATAAAATAAGAGACATTAAGCTTTTCTGCCCAACGGTGATAAACTCGTTACGGTCTTAATAATTATTTTATTTTATTTTAGGTTGTTTATTTTTATTAGTCATCTCATCTACTTTTATGAATTGTTAAAATATATTGTTATTCGGCCCAACGGAAGGATAACTTGATTTCGTATCTAACAAATTATGTTTTATAGTTAGATATATTTAACTTGTGGTATTATTTTATGTGTGTTCAAGAAGAAGAGAGGCTTAAAGTTGAAAAGCCTTGTATGGCTCACCTTATCACTTTGGGTCCAACCAAAAATATTTTCAAGAAAGGGCAAAAGTAAGAAGAAGAAGAATGCAAATGATGAAACTCACAAGGCTAATGCAGAAAATAAGATTCGATGCCATTCCTGTCGAAAGAAAGGTCACATAAGAAAAGACTGTACAGGTTTTAAAAGTTGGTTAGACAAGAAAGGTAACACTCAATGCTTTGTGTCTTATGAATCCTTTTTGGTAGATGTTCCACCAAATTCTTGGTGGATTGACACTAGTGCAAGTAT